TTTTTTTGCAGAACCGGGGATTGAACTCAACCGTAGGATTTTTGTTGCTTGTTTTTATATTTTTCTGCTGTGTAGGGATGGAACCCAGGGCTTCATCACTCTAGACAAGCTTTCTACCACTCAGTTGCATCTCTAGCCTCTATGTAACTCTAAAGGACCTTTCATGCATGATTCATTCTCTCCCCATCTCTCTCTCTCTTTCTTTCTTTCCTTCCTTCCTTTTTTTTTTTTTTTTTTTTTTTGTACCAGGATGGAACTCAGGACCTTGTACTTGCCATGCAGGCATTTATGCTGTTGAGCTATCTCCCCGGCTCATGCATGATTCTCAATTAAGCCTCACAACACTCCTGTGGAGTAGAATTACTGTTCCATTTTACAGTTGAGGCTACTGAGACTCACAGAAAAGAGAATGCTCAAAGGCATACTGTCCTCTGAGTACAGGACAGAAAATAGTTTAAAATTCAAGATCTCATCCTCGGGCCTGGGTGATAGCAGCACAGCGCCTGCCTGGCAAGTGCAAGGTGCTGAGCTTGATTCCCAGCACCAAAAAAATGATCACATCCTCCTAATGGTGGGAAGGCTTCAGAAGTCTGTGGAGGTTTGAAAAAAAAAAAATGGGTCAAAAATCAAGCATTCTGTGCCAACGGGAATGTTCTAGGTAGACAGGTTACACTTCTTGCACATTCAAAAGTGTGCTAAATAAACTCTACAGAGCAGATGACTGACAATGAAAACAGAGTGATTGTCCAGGAACAGTGAATTAGTGAAGGCTTTAGGAATTTAATCTGGTCCAATGTAATCAGGCTCTCTGTTCCCTATTCCCTAAAGACCAGCTTCGAGAGACTGTTGCACTCAGAAAGAGAAGCCAGAAATGAAACTTCGTACTTTTATGGTTTAAAAAATGGAAAATTAGGGGCCGGGGAGATAGCTCAGTAGAATAAGCACTTGCCTGGCAAGCGCAAGGGCCTGAGTTCAATTCCTGGTTCCACCAAAAAGAAAAAGGAAAATTTCCCCAGAGGCATATCATTTCCCTCCCACTACCCTCTCACTGCCCTAAATACACAATGAGTGTGGATTGGATGAGCATGTAGCCAGAGTTGGGCTTAATCGAACAAACCATGGATCAATAACCATGTATGAGAAGACATTTAAAGCTCTCCTGGGCATTTTGTGTGGTCCAGCCATGTAATCTCTCAATACCTCATGAGCCAAGGTATTATTGTCCCACTTTACAGAAAAGAGAACTAAGACCCAGAGAGATTAAAAAGTTTGTCCAGTGAGTGACAGCATGAATCTCCTGCTGCATTTCATGGAACTCCTGTCCTGATGACCTAATGACCTAGAGTTTACCAAACATTTTGCTTCCCAGATCTCCCAGGTCCGTGGTTCTGGGAATGTGATCCTTTGCTGCTGTAGCCTCTGGAGCCAGGAAACTGGGGGCTGGGTTTGAGGTTAAGCAAACAGAGCAACAGAAAAGGCAGCTGTTCCTCTCCAGTGCCCTCCTGCCCTGTCTGGTCTTTCCCTCCCTCCAGCAGCAGAGCTCAGACCAGCAACTCAGAGCCCAACTACCCAGGCAGTCAGCCTGAGGTTCTGTCATGGCACCCCTGAGGCCTCTTCTTACGCTGGCCCTGCTGGCATGGGTTGCTGTGGCTGATCAAGGTGCAGGAGGGTATTGGTGGTAATGGGAGGTGGGCAAGGGTGGTCCAGGCTTGGCTACACCAACTAACTCCCTCTCTCCATAGAGTCATGCAAGGGGCGCTGCACTGAGGGCTTCAATGCTGACAAGAAGTGTCAGTGTGACGAGCTGTGCTCTTACTACCAGAGTTGCTGCAGTGACTACATGGCTGAGTGCAAGCCCAAAGGTGGGTACTGAGCCCAATGGTCTAGGCCTGGGAGGCCCTCTGCCATTGGAGCCTCACTACTGCCCATTCTGCCTGCAGTGACTCGCGGGGATGTATTCACTCGGCCGGAAGATGATTATAGGTACTATGATTATGAGACAAATGATACCAACAGCCTCTCACCGACCACTGACTTGCATCCCCAGCCTGAAGGGACTTCTGAGTCAGCACCTAGCCTGAACCCCAAAGAACAGGCTCTTACATTTGAAGCAAGCACCACCAGGCCTGAGGTGGAGACAGGGCCTGAGACCACTGATCAAGGAGCCCTGGCATCACCAACAGAGGAAGAGCTGTGTAGCGGGAAGCCTTTTGATGCCTTCACTGACCTCAAGAATGGTTCTATCTTTGCCTTCCGAGGTGACTTCAGGGGCAGGTCCTGGGGCCAGGGGTCTACCCCAGGAGCACCTCTCCCTCACACAGCCTCCTCTACTATAGGGCAGTACTGCTATGAGATAGATGAAACAGCAGTGAGGCCTGGGTACCCCAAGCTCATCCGAGATGTCTGGGGCATCGAGGGCCCAATTGATGCTGCCTTCACCCGCATCAACTGTCAGGGGAAGACCTATCTTTTCAAGGTGCCAGGCCCAGGGGATTTGGAGCAGGGTGGAGGGCAACTATGAAGAGCTTGGTAGCTGGCATGCCAGGGCCATGGTGGACAGAAAGGCCAGAACTAGAGCTCTGTGGTACTTAGCTGGGGCTCTAAGGACAAAGCAGGTGGAGGTTTCTGTGCCCAACCATAGCTGGCCACATCTATATTTCATCTTTTCACTCCTTTTCACCTTCTCTACCTCTTAGGGTAGCCAGTATTGGCGCTTTGAGGATGGCGTCCTGGACCCAGGTTTTCCTCGAAACATCTCTGAAGGCTTCGATGGCATCCCAGACAACCTGGATGCAGCCTTGGCACTCCCTGCCCACAGCTACAGTGGCCGGGAGCGGGTGTACTTCTTCAAGGGTACTGGGGTTGGGGTGGTGAGGATGAGTAGGTATAGTAGTGGAGGGTCTTGGTTTTCTTCCACAGTTCCTTGGGAACAGACCCTAGCATGTATGCTCCTGCCCTGCACCAGGAGCTTCTACTTCAGCAGCCCTTGGGCTCTCCAGCCTTGCTCAGACCCACCCTCTGCATTTCCCCAGGGAAACAGTATTGGGAGTACGAGTTCCAGAACCAGCCCAGCCAGGAGGAGTGTGAAGGCAGCTCTCCGTCAGCTGTATTTGAGCACTTCGCCCTGCTGCAGCGGAACAGCTGGGAGGATATCTTTGAGTTGCTTTTCTGGGGCAGATCCTCTGGTAAGGGAAGAAGGCAAGCCTTGTTTCTGCTTCAGCAGGGCTGACCCCCCAACTCCACCCCTGCCCCGCAGAGGTAGGGCTGGGCTGTCTGGAGGGGGTTGGGACTGTGGGACTATGGACCAAGAGCTGTTTGCTCAGACTGGACTTTACTTTTGTTGACCTTTGTGGGAGGCTTGGCTCCACTGTGACCCCACATTTCGGACTTTGCTTAGTACAGCCAGCAGAGGGAGGGGCTGTGGCTCACAGATTAGTGTGTCTTGGGTTTGGGGAATATGACTATGGTGGTAGGAGGACACAGGGAAAAACACTGGACAGAAAACCTGAGGCCTGGGTGCTGGGTTTTGCCACCAGCTCTCTGTGGCAAGGCATAGCCAATGAGTTCTAAAGGCTCTGTTGGAGAGTGCAGGGCCTGGGCCCTGAAAATCCCTCATTAATCTCTTCCCTGCCACAGGTGGTGTCAAAGGGCCCCAGTTCATCAGCCGGGACTGGCACGGTGTGCCTGGTAAAGTGGATGCTGTTATGTCTGGCCGCATCTACATCTCAGGCTCTGCACTCCACTCTTCCCGGGCCAAGAAGCAAGTATCTAAACATCGCAGCCGCAAACGCTACCGATCACGTGGCAGCCGCAGCCGCAGCCGTAGCCGCAGCCGCAGCCATAGTCAGAACTCCCACCGGCCATCCCGTTCCCTCTGGCTGTCCTTGTTCTCTAGTGAGGAGACTGGGCTGGGAACCTACAACTATGATGACTACGAGATGAGCTGGCTTGTGCCGGCCACCTGCGAGCCCATCCAGAGCGTCTATTTCTTCTCAGGAGGTAGGAACCTCTGCCTCCCCACAGCTGGTCTGGCCTTCCCTGCTAGCCGTGGTCCCCCTGGACTGACCACAGTCCATAGGCGGTGGCCCCAGGAAGCCATGCCAGGAGCCTCTAGCTGCATTGTACATGGTCACTTTTCCTTCTGGGGTTTTTCTTTCTCAGGACAAAAGCAGGCACATTCAGGCTGGGTCTCACTCACCCCTTCCTATCTTCTCTTTCAGACAAGTACTACCGAGTTAACCTTCGCACACACCGAGTGGACATTGTGAAACCTCCCTACCCACGCTCCATTGCCCAGTACTGGCTGGGGTGCCCACCCCCAGGCCACCTGTAGGAATCAGAACCCACATAGCTGGAACTCCGTAGCTCTCTCCTCCAGCCTGATCATCCCAGCCTAATAAACGTCCCTTGGCCCTGAGTTTAAGACTAATTGTGTTGACTGGGGCAGGCAGACACCTGCTTAGTTAAAGAAGGTGAAGGTTGGCTGTCAGGGCAGGTTGAGGGAAGAAAGAGAGAACCTTGCTGTGTCCATCCCTTGTTGGGCTCAGGCAGCGGAACAACTGGCTAGACATCTTTGGGTTTTTTGGGGATTTTTTTGTATTTTAGGGAAGGGTCTACAGGGTGTTCAGGATCTCACTACTAGATTGGACTTGTAGTGATTCACCTGTTTACAGCCTCCCAAGAGCTGGGATTACAGGCATGTGCCATCATGCCCAGTCTCAATTGTCTCAGCATGCCCTGGGGGTGGGGCCAGCACAGCAGGCCTGGAGATCTAACCCTTGGCCCCTTTAGACATCTTCAATTAGTTACTTTTCTGGGGTAGGATGCTCTGGTACGGGAGAAGGGCAAGCCTTGCTTCTGCCTCAGAAGGGCTGAGATGAAGGGATGGAGAGGTGGGGAAGGATAGGACTGGGAGGAAACTCACATGTAGCCCCTGAGCAAAGCAGCCAGGAGACTTCCAAAGAAGAAAACCGTAGAAGTAACCATCTTTCTTAATCCCCCAACATAGGACTTCCTCTAGTTCCAGGCTCCTCTACCTCAGCAAGCCCATCTGGGCTCTTGAGTGACCATATAGAGTTGGTTAGAGACAAGCAAAGATCTAGAGCAGCCCCAAGGAAATCTGGTAGTGACATCTGTTCCTCAGCTGTGCTGAGAGCTGGTGCTCCTGCAGGCCCTATCATCCTTCTTATTCTGTCTAGTTTCACGGGCAAGTCCCACGGTCGGGCGATAGAACTCCACGCACTCTCCCCTGAAGGCAGGCAGGACCAGGGCACTGAGGGCTCCAGAAGGGGCAAAGACCTGGAGCACTGGAAATATTTCTGTGGCTCCCTGGACAGGATTTTCATGAAGTTTAGGAGTACAGGCTCAGGTTGTCAGAGGATGAGGTTTGAGTGGAAGGGGGGAGGGGGAGCGGGGCGGGACGGGACGGGGACGGACCAGCTCACTTGGTGTTTAGAAGGGGCGGGGATATTCAAATTTACCCCACCCATAACCCTGTCAGCCCTGATCCTGACCAGGGCCTCCCTGCCCCCCTCAACTTCACTGATTTGCTTTAGCTGGAGTCTTAAGCCTCTCCTGGGGGAGGGACCAGTCACTCTGAGCAGCATAAAGTGCCCAGCAGATGGGTGTGGTGTGGGCACAGCCCGGGGATGGCCCTCTGGCTCCTTACCCTCTGCCAGCTCCATGGCCAGCCCCATGGAGGCATCTTCAGCAGGTGACTTAGTGGGAAGAGAGTGGGTAGGCCAAGAAGTGGGCAAGGTATGGTGGGGAAGGCTGGAGAGGGTGGGGATTAAGTTTGCAGGATCCGTGGAAGACTCTGAGGCTGGGCAGAGGGGCTTACAGGAAGTCCTGGCTTCACTCCCAGCCCGGCCTGCCGACCGCGCCAGGAAGCTGGGTCCTCACCGGAGAAAGAGGACCACCTTCAGCGTTGGGCAGCTGCTGGAGCTGGAGCGGGTGTTTGCAACATGGCCCTACCCTGACATCAACACTCGAGAGCACCTGGCCCGGGTCACCTGCCTGCCTGAGGCCAAGATACAGGTGAGCTGTGACCCCTCTCAGGACAGTGCCTTCTCACTCAGCCAACAAGCTTGACCTACAGTTTCTCTGAGCATCCTACCTGCAGGTTGTTTTCTCTGGTGCAGGGGAGAGGCTGTTCAAACTAGAATAGACTCTTTTGCCTTCCCTACCAGGTGTGGTTCCAGAACCGCAGGGCCAAGAGAATCAAGTACAAGAAGCCAAGAGGACTTGATTCCAGGCCTGAGTGTCCCCAGAACTGCCATCCTCTTCCAGACAACCCCCAGCAGCCTTGGGAGCCCCGGATGGTGGTCCAGCCTCTACCTGCCACCAGCGCAGCTCATCGTACCTCAGGGTGTCTGCAGGCCTCCTGTAAAGCTCCCATCTGGGGTCTAGGGCAGGGCTGGACAGGGGCTAAAGTTGCAACCCCATGGGGGACAGCTAGGGTTCCAGGAATCCACCCTTCTTTGGAGCGAGCCACTCCTCAGACCTCACTGGGCAACCTATCTGACCTTTTTTATGCCTCAGCAACTGTCACCAATGTGGATCACTCTTAACCCTGAGGCAGAATGTGTAAGATTCCCCTCTCCTCTGCTCCTGTACCCCACCTGTTTACACAAGTTTTCTAATACAAATTTAGCCCCCTTTCACTGACCAGCAGGCCAGCTCAGATGCAGGTCACCTGCAGTGACTGGGGCCTGGCTCCTGCCTCTCTGTACCTTAGCCTTTCCTGGGGTAGATGGCCACCATCTTGATATGAGTCTGATATCCACCGGCACACCTGCTTCCTGATTCTCATCCCAGCTCAGATGACATCCCTCTAACAGGGACGCCACTGTCTGATGAGGGCCATTTAGGCCATTATCTAACTAACTGCTGAGTGGGAGATGACAGTGCCACTCCAAATATGAATTGCAGGAGATCCATTCTTTTATGGTTTAGGGGCTCCTCTCCTGACCTCCTGCCACCTGGACAAATTAATCACTATGGATCTGAAGGGGGGAGGTCATATGAAAGCAATAAAGTAGAAATAGGAGCAGGGGTTTAGGGTGGTTTAATTTTCACAAAGATCATATTGGCTCTCCTCTGACGTGGGCCTATGGGGACCCAACAGATTTAGGGTGGAGGGGGTACAGCAACAGTAAGTCTTGGTATCATCTATAATACCAACTAATCTCCAAATAAAACCCAACTCTGTACCTTAATCTGGATTGTTGTGTACTGCAAATGAATGAGGACATGGGCCATTTGCCTTGGAAATTTATCTCTATCACCTAATCCCTAAATAGGGCCAGGTTCCACATGGATGGGGTGGGAGGCATTACCCAGGCTTCTGCTGGGATTAGATGAGGGATAGTTAATTATTGAGTTTAGGGTTTTGACAGACCCTGTGGCGGTGGGATCCTCTGCTGGTACCTGTCCTGGTCCCAGTGTGTCCAGATGCTTCCATCTCTGGAGAGGCTCTGCTTTCGGGAGAAAAGCTGTTTGTGGTCAGTCTGTGCTAATTTAAACCCTAGCTCTGTGATGCAAGTGGAAACTCTGAAATTCATTGAGCTTGAAAGGCAGGATGGTAAAACTTCTTCCCCATCTTAGAAATTTCTTAGCTGGTCTTGGGTGGCACACACCTGTAATGCCAGCAATTGGGAGGCTGAGACAGGATTCCCGAGTTTCAGGCCAGCCTGCGCTACATGGCGAGTTCAAGGTCAGCTTGTACTACATAGCTAGACCTTGTCTTGAAAACAAACCCTACCTCCCTCCAATTTTTTTTTTTTTTTTTTAATATGGTATGTGCTGTATCATAAAAAATGTTAGTTCTTTCCACTGCTCTAGCCAGGAAGCTGTAAGACCTCAAACTTCCTGTTCCTCTGTCCTCCTTCGGCCTGGGTGTGGAGAAAGCACGGTACACTCGGAGGAAGTGGCTGAAGCAGGTCCCTTCTTTGTGCAAAAAACTGGAGGATGAGACACCCGATTCCTAGGCTAAATCTGCCCTTGCAGATGGAACCCTCCTCACAGTGGCCATTTCCCCCTACCAGGCAGGAGCTAGGTCTTCTGCCTTCTCACCCCCAGATGCTAGCAGTGCCAGGACCACAGTAAGGGCTCAATGTCACAGAAGCCTGTGGGCTTCTGAGGAGGCAGCTGAGGTCCAATGGGAGACTCCACCCTATGAAGGAGGGTACAGATTGCATTATCAGATTTCCCTCACTCCAAGGGTCAGAATCTGCTTGATATTCTGATAAAGTTAAAATGTCTTGAACATTCAGAAGCCTCTTAACCTAAACTCAGGTATTCAGGTGGGATGTGTGTGTGGAAGCTTGAGGCCATGTGGCAGCTAATCTGAGTGTAGACAGAGGCATAGCCATGGATCCCCACAAGGCTTTAGTGGAGCTTTCCACCCAACCCTCTACTGTTCAGGTTACCAGAACATAGCAAAATGCCACTTACAGGCCAGGGTGGTCGTGTGTATCTGTAGACCCAGCACTCCCAGGAAGGCTGAGGCAGGACTATTGCAAGTTGGAGACCAGCCTGGGCTACAAAGTAAGTTCAGGGCCAGCCTGAGCTGCACAGTGAGACTCTGTCTCAAAAAAAAAAGGATGGAGGGGAAGAGCCATTACATTTTCTCATAGCTGACACATCTTCCAAGCAATAGAAACTGGCAAATATTGAGAAAATGTTTATCAAGCTGGTCAGTATGTAATTTATAAGAACAGAAAAGCTTTGGAAAAAACAAAGACTACAAGATTGTGTACAAAGAATGAATACAGTGAATAAAGGGGAAGACAACTCTATTAGCAGGTATGACAAAAGCCTCAGAAATACAGAAATCTTTGTGCTTTGTATTATCTAACCAACTTCACGTAAGAATACTAGACACCATAAATATTTACTGGGTGGGTGACTGGGGCTGATACCTTTTTTTTTTTTTTGGTACCAGAGATCAATCTCAGGACCTCAGTCCTGCCAGGCAGGCGCTTATGCTGCTGAGCTACCTCCCCGGCCCAGATACCTTTTGTTTTGTTTTGGGTTTTTTTTTTGGCGGAACTGGGGATTGAACTCAGGCCCTTGTGCTTGCCAGGGAAGTACTTATTCCACTGAGCTATCTCCCTGGCCCTCCAGATACCTTTTGAGTGCCTTATAGAGGCAGATTCTATCATCACATTACTTACTGGGGTTCTCAGAAGTTTCATATTACATAGAGACATCCAGACAATACAGTAGTCTTTGGGTCCACTTAACAGAGGAAGGATCATAGCTGGTTACTGGATGCCTCTGGGTCTGTTTTGCCTTCTAGAAAAGGGGGCTGATGCCATGCCCCTTTCCAAAACAGGAGCTGCCTGGCTTCCAGTTCCACCATCCTGTACCAACTCGTTTTTCTCTTCCTCTAATCAGTTCTCCTTCCAGCACAGACTGCAGAGATGAATGAAGCCTTTTTCTCCTTTCCTGGAAGCTTCTGCTCTCAATTACTGTCCTGCTCCAGAGGTGTGTGCACTAGGCCAAGTTCGAGGCGATACAGGCCTACCTCTGGGGAGACCTGGATTCTATTTACTCCTGATGGAAAAAGCCCAGGCCCAGCAGTGCTCAGAATGGACTGGAGAAGGCAGATGGGCAATGGCTTTGGGAAAAGAGAGAAACTAACTCTTTTAGTTTAAAAGAAGTATCATCTGAGTCTTCTCCATGGCTCATTCTGGAAATTTATGGAAAATGGGACTCCTCACAGAAACAGCAGGTGTCCTGGTTTGGTCCTCTGACTAAAGCTGAGTAAAAGAAGCCTCATAGGTTGGCTGAGTCGCTGACTGGCAGGTGGCAGCCTGATGACTCCAAAGCCTTCTGCAGACTCTGATGATGAAGCACCAGTCACAGCTCTCCCAGCTCTCCTTCCACTGCCCGCACCATGACATACAGTTCAGCTAGGCCCACCACTGAGGCGACGATCATTGCAGCCAGCACACGCTAGGGAAGAAGAGAAAGTGGCTTAGGGGATACAGAACTCCCAAACCTGTCCCTAAACTGGGGAAGATGAGAAAGGGTCTTAGCTTCTTTTGGGATTATTGCCCACCCCATAAATGCTGAATGGCTTAAATGTTCCCCTTGTTTATTGCATAAATATATGCTCAATTTCTTACCTGTGCAAGATATTTTTACATAATTTTCCCTTTCCCACTAACACTTCCACCTGTAGCACTTTGCCTGCCCAATGTCTACTCACTGAGGCCATTTCTGTGAAGAGATACTGGCTTCCAAGGTAAGTGCAGACGAATGCAGCTGCCACCGTCACAATGAAGTTGAAGATGGTAATGACCAGAGCCTTCACTGATCTCACTTTAGGGAGAAGCCCAGAGAAGAAATCTTTAGGTCAGCATTCTTCAGGAGGATCTCTTACCTCAGTCAACTGAGTTCCCTGAACAGAGCATGGCTGAAGAGCTTGGCCTCTAGCCCTGGATGCTAGGGTGGGAAGGAATGCCACAACCCATTTCAGGGACAGGCTTTAGCAGTCAGGTTTCCTAGTATCTTACCTTGCTTTCCCAAGTCACTGAGAGTCCCACCATGCAGAGAATCCTGAGCAAAAACAGACAATTTCAGAATAAAAGCAGCTCGAGGGTAGTCCAGAGAGCTTCCACATACTGGGCTGGGAGTAGAAGAATCACAACTAACTCTGGGTTCTGGGGCAGAAGAGTCACATTAAAAGAATGACATTCCTTAATAAATTAACTCATTCTCTCTTCCTTAAATTAACTCATTCTCTACGCCTTAATAAATTAACTCTTAACTCTCCATGGATTGCTCTGTCTACAACCAATATGCCTCTTTTCTGTTATACAAATCAGGCATTACAAAGGAGATAAGTTCCCAATACCTATCTGCTCTTCTCCTGTTTCAGGGCAGGAGTGCATCAACAAATAGTAGGGAGTTCTGTCAAGAAAAAAAGACTCCAAGGTTCACCCTTACATCTACCATGTCTTATAATTTAATCACCATCCAAGCCAAGAGTCTCTCAGTGAGTAAGTTGGGGATTACAGTTTGTACATTAACACAAGAGCTCCTATGGTCCCAGAATAATACACAAACCAAGATCTTATCTGTTTCTTCCCTCTATACTTCATTCTAGGTCAAAGCCCTGTTTTTCGGAGTAATCAGTTCAGGTACTGAGAAGCAGACTCTTACCTGACAGGTGACGTTGCGAGTGATCCGCTTATATTCCTCATTGGCCAGATGTATCTTAATTTTCTCCAGTCGAGCAACTAACTCTGGGTTCTGGGGCAGAAGAATCACATTAAAAGAATGACATTCTTCTACATATTTGTTGCTAGGAAGTAGATCGTAGTCATTGGTTCCAAGGGGCATAAAGACCCACATGCCAGTGGAGTCATACTTCCACTGCTTTGGAAACTGATTTTTAGATGCAAGTTTCCCAAAGCTGTCAAATACAGAAAGTTCTCTCATGCTAGAGCCCAAAAATTGAAAGTACATTTTTAAGCTCAAAATCTGATTAACTTTGATATCCAATTCAAATCATAATCGCTCTCACAGATATACCTTGTACTCACAGATATATCCTGTACTTACCCGAGGAGGCTTCACAACCTCTGGTAGATAGATTTCACTGCCTTCTAAAAGCTCATGAAGATATAGTGTGGAACCTGGAGAAAAAAATGTTTCCACATGGTGATCTACTGAACTGAGGTTGAAGTATTAAGACCAGTAAAGGGTCTACCAAATAAACCATGGCGATCCCGATGTCAAATCATGACATCCCCAGGATGATTTTCAAGTTGGGTAAAGTTTTATTATTTTCTAGTGCTGCACAGCAACTCTGTCATTTTATCCTCTCAAAGCGACCGCCAACACGTAATACTGCGCCTTTGGGTTAGGTCATAGTGATGTTAAATACCACATGAAATCATCTCTTTTTAAGGTTCTCTTTAGTTCTAGTAGTTAGGCAGTCTACTTCATCTTTCTGACTGGGCTATGTAAATCCCAGCAAAACACCTTTGCTGTAGGTTTGCCTTTTTTTTCAGGCTGGGGAGGAGAAATGACTTCTTCAAGGGGAATCACTGACAGAGCTAGGACTAGAATTCACATGCTACTCCTACTTCAGATTATCTTTAAAAAAAAATCACATTTTATCACTCTTGCTTTTGAGATGCAAAGAAATCTAGGACGAGATCAGCATCCTGAGCTGATTTCTAGTGTGGTGAAAAAGGAAGAAGCTGGAACCTGGCAGATGGTACTGGGTTGGAACCTGGGCTTTCTCAAAGGTCAGGTTGTGCCTAGGTGTGCCTGTAAGACGAGACTCAAGGAAACAGTGTGTGCAACACAAATTCATTTTGTCATCCACGAAAAATTCCCACAAGAGAGGGGTTAAGGAATGGGTGGCCCTGGGGTTTATGAAGAGATTTGTTGATTGGCTACATAAGTATGCCGCAGGCATGGGTGTACTCAACATGGAAAAAATCTCAGGAAGGAGCAAATCTGGAAACAGAGGCGATCTCGGACTGGACACGGGCTCACCCCTTTCTCTGAGATGCTGGTGAAGATCCCGGATCACACGAAAGGAAACCAAGCGTCGGGAGCTACCGGGACTACCACCATTCGTGTGCTTCTTTCCCAGAGCGGCCTCAAGCTCGGCTCGCAGCTTCTGGGGCAGCTTCTCTGACTCTAGCTCCCCGCCAGGCCCGAGAGCGCGCAGCAGACGATCACCTACCACCAACGAAGACGCCATGTCTGGCCAACTCTAGGATCAGGTGATTCCCAAACTCGGACTTCCGGGTGTGCGCCGGAAGTAGCTCAGAGCGAGGGGCGGGGCGGGGCGGGGCACCGGGCCAAAGGGGCGGGGACGCGGCGCGGGGCAG